GGGGGTTCTCCCCCTCTACTCCGCTCTGGTGAGACCCCACCTAGAGTGCTATGTCCAGCTCTGGGGTCCCCAGCACAAGACAGACATGGGCCTGTTGGAGCAGGTGCAGAGGAGGGCCACAAAAATCATCAAAGGACTGGAGCACCTCTCCTGTGAAGAAAGGCTGAGAGTTGGGGTTGTTCAGCCTGGAGAAGGCTCTGGGGAGACCTTACTGCAGCCTTTCGGTACTTAAAGGGGGCTTATAAAAGATGGATGGGGACAAAATTTTTAGCAGGGCCTGTTGCGATAGGACAAGGAGCAAGGGCTTTCAACTGAAAGAGGGCAGATTTAGACTAGATATAAGGAAGAAATTTTTGACAATGAGGGTGGTGAAACACTGGCACAGGCTGCCCAGAGAGGGGATAGAAGCACCATCCCTGGAAACATTCAAGGTCAGGTTGGACAGGGCTCTGAGCGACCTGATTTAGCGAAAGATGTCTCTGCTTACGGCAGGAGATTGGATTAGATGGCCTTTAAAGGTCCCTTCCAACCCAAACTGTTGTGTCAGGCTATGATTCTATGATTTAGGCCAAAGGAAACAGATGTAAATGCTCTGAAGTAGGCTGTGTCTTACGACTTTGTGAAGTGCTAGGAGAACTAGTGCACACTGGTATGGCACATTTTAACTCTTCAGAAGTAGCAGACAAAAACCACCACAAAAGCCAATGTTGGGGTGGAGGACAGGAGGTAGGATCAAAGATGCCTTCTATCTAGCGTGATGTCTGCGATTGACATGGTCCTGTCAGCGTGTCTCTGTATCAAAGCGTGAATTCCATTTTGTTCTGTGGATCCCATTCTGCTTTACGTTCTGCACTGTCACCTTCACAGTGCTGCAACTGTTACCCATGATAGCAGCTGGACACATTGGGAAAAACTCACGTGTTGGAGCTATAGTTGTAGCAGACGAGGCCAACAAAACCCATCAATCCTGAATGTCTGGAACAGTAGGTAAGGTCACTGGCTCTGAGACTTTTACAAACAGCAGTCTACCAGATAGCACCAGAACCTGAACCTATCCCAGCAGTGGAGAAGAATCAAAGGGGACCCCTCAATAAACCAGTGTATACTGTAAGATGGGAAACATTCTCTAACAAAGTATGCAAGAACCATGTTGTCTAAAGGCAGTGAGTATACCTGCCACTCATGAGAGAAAGGATACAGAGGTTTTCTGGAGTCACCTGCTTTTTCAAAAAGTCAAAATTCTCCGTACTTTCTGGAGAAAAACAGCAATAGACAACTGATTCCTTTGCAAAGCCCGTCTCCCTTTCCTCTCCCCTGAGGATTTTAGCTCAAAACCCAAGCTCCCGCATGCTGCACGATTTGGGCCTACTCTGGTGCTCTATTACCCAAAAAGGGGTGGGAAATCTGTACAGCAGAATTCTGCTGCTTAAGAAGACTGCCCAAAAAATGCAGGAGTGAGACCTGGGGCTACCGCCCGTGACTCTGAGTGCTTTGGAGGTCCTGGGCCCTCATTAGTGTGACAGCTGTAACTCAACTCTATACTGGGGAAATCCCAGCAGAGCTTTGCTGATTCACCAGGCACCCACTTTTTGCAAACAGAAGGGAGTGTGTCAGCCAGCCGGGAACCCATACTCCCAACAGGACACCCAACCTGGACAAGCAGAGGGCCAGAAACTGCAGCCTTGTATGCCACGTTCCAGCATTTCATTCATACACATCCCAAGAGAACCGTAAAGCAGAACGGTGCCTAATGACTTCCCAGACCACACAGGTGGTGCTGCAGTGACAGCACACTGCACTGACTGCAATTGAGTGAACCTGGTTGCTCTCAGCTAGCCACTCCCAGCTCCTTCTCCCTGTCTCCGCCTTGACGTCATCCCTCCCTCAGATCTGCCGCCATAAATGTTGGTAACAGCTTCCTAAACAGGAATGGAGGCATGGGCCTGTTCCCAAGAGATGCCTTTTGCACAGTTCCACTCCAGAAGTTACTGGATGGCTGGCTCACTGCAATTGCTCCTGCATGGAATTCGTACCTGTATTCAGCGACTCCTCCTGCATGCTTCTTCATGGCTGTATCAGAGCTCATTCCATAGAAGAGTTTCACCTTTTTGCCGTTCTTTTCCATAATTTCTCCAGCACACTGGTCATGGCCTGCAAACATTCCTCCAAGCATGACAAAATCAGCACCGGCTCCTGTGATCAGCAAAATGACACGTAAGCAAGCAGGGAAGGGAGAAGAGGGTGAAAGACAAAGCAAGAACACAGTGGCCTCCAAAAACAATAGCCAACCCTAAATAGTTTGGTACAGACAGTCCCCTTCTGTAACAGACGCAGCAAACTTGGAAGAAATGCTGATTTTTATTTCTCTGTTATTTTAAATAGAAAGAATCCTTTTCTGTAGTGATGGCAAAGATGTAGATTATTCTACTCCACCCCACACAGTCTTTATTATAAAATTCAGTTTAATCCTTTTCTTCATAATAGTATCTGAGCACGGTTCCTTATTAACTACTATTGTGACTGGAGTACTCAGAAGCCCTAATCACAGGGCTGGGACCTTTTGAGCTCAATGCTGTATAGAGAGGAAGACAGCTCCTACTTCAAGACCTTTCTAGGCTACAAGCTCTGTGTGGGAATGTCCCCTGAAAGAAGGCATACTCATGAATGTAATGTACTTCTCCCAACACTGACATAAAACAAGCAGATTTTTTAATGAAATGATGGATTTTTCAAGTCCGTCAGCCATATGTGTTCAGTGTAGATCTGGGTGATCCCTTGTCAAAGATCTCAATGGGGTTGTATTTGCTTCCTGTTGTTTAAAAACTCTGGGCCAAGGAGTACCTTGTTCTGTGTACTGAGCATGCACCACAGAGGAGGTCTAACCCATAGCTACAACTCCTAAATATATTCCAGATACTGAATACTTAATCATGCCTTTAAGACTGTCCATCTTCCCTGGCTTTGTAAACCGTGAAATCAGTTCCACTGGGAGTAAGATCAGGAAGAAGGTTTTTGGAATCACTCTTTGATTTTCTACTGTGATTTCCAGTATTTCCAGCTGGGCTGGAACGATTCTACCAGCAGCTTCTCCTGTGATATTTTGGCATATCTAGTCTTGCTTGGAAAAGTTTGGCTTTTACTCTTTCATGAGCTTGTGATGACCCATCCCTGAAACAAAGCATTTTCCTGTTCAGACTCTCTGCTTTTTTAATGTGTATGTGTCAGGACAGGTCTCCCCTCTGCCCAGATTCTTCCCAGAACTGGCAAAAGAACAGGGCTATAAACCTAACTTCATAGAAAGCAGACAAGCCTGAGCTATGCCCCGCCCCATTATGAACATGTCCAAACTCTGGGGAGACCCCAGGCTAGGTACGTCTGGCATTAGAATTTGCTGTGATCTCTGTTACTATCCAAACAATGGCACTGGACCTTGCAATCCGAAGAGTGAAATCATTATCAAATCTGCTCAACTTCTGCCATCTGTTTAAAAGTTCTGTAGATAAACCTGAATTTGGGAATATTTTGATCTTAGAATACCATACAAAAGCCAGTTCCCTCCCTCCACCCCTTTGCCAAAGAGCAGACCTGGCAGCAATGCCTGGGAGCAGAGCACCCAGCTGCTCTGCTGACCTCACCTCCCTCTGCCTGGTTATTGTTTGACAGGAACAGTATGTCCATGGCAAAGAGATATTAAAATGAGGCTTGTGCAAAACCATTAAGCACATCACAAGCAATATTTATAGCCAGCTACCTGGCAGATTTTTCCTGAGCTCTCTTGTTTCAGATGGCCGAGTTCTAAAAACCTCAGTTTGGCTCATGTCTGATACTACTATTAACCTGACAAAAACAAAGGGAACACTTATCCTTTAAGACATTCTCAATTACTGGTGGGGAGTTCCTGTTGTTACCTGGCCAATCTTGCTCCGCCTTTGCAAAAAATAAGTACCCTGGGAAATCTAGTTGATGTCTTCTTCATGGGTGGAAGAAAACAACAAGAGGAAGGAGGGACAGACTTGGGGTCAAGGTTTCAAAGAGGGTGCTTAAACAAGTCAAAGGCGTGCCAAAGGACACTCTGGACTCTGCCTTGTCAATACTATCCCCTGATCCCAAATTCTAGTCCTGTCCCTGGTTGTGGGTCTCAGCCTCCAAATTTAATGCAAAACAGTCACATGAAATCTACACCTCAGAATCACAGAATTTTGGTTCCTGTGCACTTAAGTATCTATTTATCATTTTTCTTTTGTCTGTGTATTTTGTGAGGAAAGCAAGTATGTTTGAATTACAGGATTGAAACTCATCCAATTTGAGCAACTTTTGTAAACTACAATATAATTCATCAAGCTCTTCCAGAAGAGAGAAGCTGTGTTACAGCAGATGCAGCACGTCTCAACACTGGAATGACAAGTGCTTACTGCCCTGCAGCTCCAGGAGTGACAAGCCCATATTAAATATACTTTTCCAATGCTCTCTAGAACTTTCCACCCTGCTTCAGTGGCTGCAAAGATGTCTGAAAGTTGAAGTCTGTTCCACTACTTGTGTATCACTTAACATCCAACCAGGAGGATGTAGTTTTTACCACTGTCTTTGTTAACTTATGGATGGTTTTTCGTATGAGCAGAAGCACTGGTGATGTTTGCAACACCCAGCTGCAGTCTTTTGTTTTCCAGTACAGATAGACAGCGTGCCATTATTTTAGGTTGGGGAGGACTGGGAACACGTGGCAACAACCCCCTAGAAAATACAGGATGTGATGGTGTGCGTTGCATACAAGCATCCCAGTAGCTCTCCCAGAGTTTGCTAGACCCGTCTTGTTTCTACACAATGCCACTTCAATGCACTGACTTCCCCCCTGAGGCCAACGCTGTATCCCATTCACATTTCACAGTGCCTCCTCTTTCAAGCCATTACAGAACATGTGTGCTGACGCCAGCCCAATCTTGCAGCGCTCACACAGTTCTGCTGGATCTGGATGGAGTCCCTCAGATGTCTTTTGTATGCCTGATAATACAAGTTACTGATAACCAGATTGGCTCTGCACAAATTCAGCTGGAGTCAGCCCGGATTTGTAGCCTGGGCAGCGCTCCAGGCAGATGCAGTGTAAGTTTGCCTGGACCACAGCTGGCCCTGGAATCAACATTCACCTGTGCTCCAGCTGAGCCAGCGAGCCTTTGCAACAGTAGGTATACACACAGAGCTATTGAAAACAAGGAAAAAACCCCTCAGTATGATCTGTCGGGTAGATTTTGGAACCAGTATAATGTCCCCAGTTGACTTTTCCACATGATTTTTCCTTCCTTTTCCTTCCCTGCTCCTTTATCTCTTCTTACAAATGCTGTAAGAAACAGCAGTATTGCGTTAAAAGATGCTGGCACAGGATTCAAAAGGCACATTCTGTTCCTGGCTGTGTCACAAAAATATATGTGACCTCAGGCAACTGAACTTAGTAATTCTGTGCTTTGACTTAGCATTTTTGTGCTTTGGCTTCGCATCTTTAAAAAAGGAGACAGTAGTGCCTCCCTGGGGCATTCTGAGAAATGTGTTTGCATTATCAGCCTTTCCAAGGGTGCAGTTATGTGAACCATCTGAGAGCCCAATACAAAGCTCTTTCATGCTTTCTCTCATTTCTGTATCAAAACACCTCTTTTCCTCCTGATCAACCTACATCTTTTCCATTATCATCTCCAATATCTAGATGGCAGTAACATCTTCACTTTCCTAAATCCATACAAGGTTCCCATCCAGCAGTTCCAGAATTCCAGCAGTCTATCCCCAAGTATCTGTCACTCCTGGCATTTTTTCTCCCCGACTTCAGTGCTTCTGCGTCTGGCTTTTTTTAAATAGGCTTCTACCTTGTTTCCCCTCTGTCAAAATGCCATCTGCCACCAGTAAATAGTGTCACTTTCCACCTGTAAAGTTTCTCATCATCTACTTCATGGTTCTCCACAGCTCTTCACTTGCACTCACATCACCCTACTTCTGTTCCCATGAACTTGCTCCTCCAGTCACATCTTCAGCTATTTTTCAATGCTAGTCTTCACATCTGGGACTCCTTCACACTTTTTATGATTCAAATGGCTGCTTTGTCACTGCTTTATAATAAACACCTCAACATCCCGTCATGAAGACTTTACAATGATCTGCCAAAAGGAAATAGTATAATCACTTTAACCCAAAGTCCTCTTTGGGTCTCTTGTCCATGCTTTGTCCAGGCCTCCAGCCCGAGGTGAAACTGAACATCTGTATGTTTTAGCACCTGGTCTCTGCTATCCAATATATTTATGTAACTCCTCCCTAGTTACTAACTACTAGATAACTAACTTCTAGATAACTAACATTATCTAGAAGCTTATTTTGGCACCCACCTTTGACAAATGCACACCTGGCTCCAGCTAGTCAGATGTCTACAGTGTGTCTACCTCAATTATACGTAACCAGATACGGTAAATGTATTGCCTCAGGGTAATCTCTGTCAGTTCCAGCCCTGTGACACACAGGTCAGACTGATCTGTCTGGCCTGTTGTCAGAGTAGTACCAATGCCGCTACACTTTTAGCTTTCTGATGTTCCTCTCTCCCAGTGACAACCCGTGGTAGCCTTCAAACACGTACCACTGTGAATCCCAGCACCTCCTGACAATCAGCAAGGCCGGAATCTGCCCTTTCACGGGTTTTAAGCAAGTTTGTGCTCAGTTAGCCCAAAGAAACCATAAGGACCCTTCAGACTTGCTATAAACATCACAAAAGAAAACATTTTAAACACTTTGAAGTTGCTTCCTGTTGTTCTAACTTCTGGCAATGCTCTTGCTGAAAAAAGACCTTTTCCATGGGCCAGGTTTCTGTGCAGGCAGCTGGGAATGCAGTGAGGTCGCAATCCCAGTTCACAAGCTCCCCATGACAATGCCAGCAAGAACCGGGTGAGCTGCAGAGCCAGAGAAAGCGAGGCAGAACAAAGGCCTCACTGCAGGCAGCATGAAGTCAGAGTGGACTGGGCTGAGGAGAGCTTGGGCGGGTTTTTTTAATACAATCTTGCTGTCAAAGTGGGTGGATGCCACTGTTCAGCTATGTCAGAATCACCCAACTGGAACTATCTATTCCCTATGTCACATCACCCACTGGGTAACACAAGGGTGCTGTGAAATCCTGTGACTGAGCAGATTCCTTGCTGGTAGCAACCACTCCATGGCTGTGCTTAAAATTCTCTAATTAAGTCTTCCTTGTCATCTGACCTGTATAAAAACAGAAGCTGTCTGCAAACTTGGAAGACAGATTTCTGTTTCAACCTTTCCAGGAGGCCCAGAGTATTTCTTGGAAGGTCTGTAATCTGAGTTTAGGCCTGCCCCTGCTTTCCATACTTGCAAAGCTTCCTGCCAAGCAGGTAATCTGTATTGTAGCATCCTAGCTCTTGGTTCAGCATCACCCTGAAATCCCAATGAGAGACTGTGCTGTCTCACTCTATTCTGGGTATTACCCCACTGTGACATCTCCAAAAGGTCTGGTATTTTGCAGGGGTGAGGGAGTGTCTTTAAGTGTCTTGTCAGCCCAGGATGCATTTAGCATCAGGTTCACATATGCTGCTGCAGCAAGGTTATGGCTAAGTGACGATCCAGACCTTGACCCCCCACCCCGACGTAACTTTGATGCCCAACAGAAAACACTCACAGATTAAATTCTCTTTCTGTCAGCAAGAGCACTGAAGCTAATAGCATAAGAGCAAAATCTGTTAATTATTAACTTAGATGTTTTAGACATCTGCTCAGCTCTAGGGGATACAGTATAAATAAAATCTCATCTCTTCAAGCGGACAGCTGATCCCAAGAACATCTCCAGGGATCTGGCCTGCCTTTTTGTTTTGTTCTTCTGTCCAACACACATTCCACCATCACTTCATCCATTCAAGGTCCAGGGCAGCCAGATCTGGTGATGTTACAGGCATCTTTGAACCCTACCCAGAAGAAACCCTTATCAGTTTTCTTTGTACTACTGTCCCAGTGGCTGTATCCCATGCACACCTGGCAGATAGTTTCTAAACAGGACTTCAACCAAGGTACGTTTTGCACTGTAGAATTTGCACTGTCTGCTCCAAAGAGCAAATTCACATCTGGTGTACTAGTTTCACTGGAGTCACCCACAGGAACGAATGTAACCTACTGCTGATTACACACTGAGGATCAAATTGACTCCTGCATCCCTGCTGACGGTGCAGAGACACACGGGGTGTGATAGGTATCACTACACGCTGTCCTTACCAAACGCTTTGGCGACATCTCCTGGGCAGCTGCATCCTCCGTCCTGCATAAAGAAAAGAGGACAGTGAGTAGCAGTGAGTTCACTCAGGCCCCAGTGAGCAAGAGGAGAGGACAGTGAGTCGCAGTGACCTCACTCACGGGCCCAGTGAGCAAAAGAGTACAATGAGTGGCAGTGAGCTCACTCAGGGGCGCAGTGAGCACTGGCACTCTGCAACATGCAGCAGAATGGCCCCTGCTCAAGAAGGGCGTGTCAAGAGCTGACTGTCCACCATTGGTATACATCAACTTAGCTGAGTTTTTAGGGAATCCATACAATCCTTTCTATTGCTTTCCTTTGTTAGGCTCACTTCATGAATCTCCAGCTAATACTACTGATAACAGCAGCAATGCAAACTCCTGACTGCAATTTCCTAAATCCCAGAAACTAGAAAACAAAATTTCCTCTGATGATCTGAACCATTCCCTGCCATTTTAATGAAAGGCTGTGTGATGCAGAGGTACCACAACCCCCTACCTTAAACCTCCAAAGACATTTAAAATCTCTTTCTCAGCAGTTTACAATACATTAAAAGGTCAGAGTGGGAGGGGTGAGGAAATACACCATCAGCTATGTTGGATTTTGATCTGATAATCTCTAAACAAATTGTGTAATCTAATCTTTGGTAAGTGAAAATTGATCTCTCCTCATACTCCTCACTGTTTCCTATGGGTTTGGTAAAGAAACAACAATACTTTGAGATCTTTGGCATTTTAGACCTATGAGTTTCAGTTTCAGCACACGGCAAAGAAGTGGCTGATGAGGGTGTTTCGGCTGAGGGAAGTTATGTATGTGTGATAGGGCTGTAAAAAAGAAATGGCAGATAGCAGAGCTCATCATGTGCTATGGTTCTTTAGGTTCTATAAAGGTCTGAGCATCAGACGAAAGCTCCTTCTGCTCATTGTACCAAGAGGGCTCCCCATTCCTTTGATGATCAGGATCTGCTGCAGACTGCCAACAGTTTTCCTGCTTTTGAAGCTACTCCCCAGGCTGTACGATTACTTCATTTTGTTTCACCTCGCTGTTGGCAGAAATGCATGCCTGTGTATGACCTGCGGCTGAGCACAGCCAGACACCCCCACCATCAGCCATTTTAGAGCTGGCTTTCACGGGTAGCTGGCAGTGGGGCTGAGTGTTAGAACCTCTCTGTGCGCAGAAAAGGATTCAGACACAAACTGAGCAGGTGGATCCGAAAGTCAGTCACTTTTCAAAGGGCATCCCACTGCAAACAGCGCCTGGTAGAACTTTAAAGGCTTTTATTCCATTTGCTGATAACCTCTAGCACATTATGCCTTTTATTGAGCTAGACACTCTTGCTGTCAGCCCCGGAAAGGAGTGCTGGGCTGACAGCTGAATCTTTCTCTCCTGTTAAGGGCTCTGCTTGTGCAATTCTTTACCTCTGAAAAGTCTGTCAGAGCCTGGAGGAGGGTGTGAGTGTGTGTGCATGTGCCAGGGGAGGAAGAACTAAGGCAGAAAGAGGGGTCTAATAATCTTCAAAGAGTAGTGTCAGGAATTTGCCTGACTTACTGTCTGACTGAGACAGGCTGGATATGAATGCTCTCTGGTAGATGGTTTCAGTCTGTTCTTGTTGGGTGGCTCAGTGTCTGACTTTCATACTTAAGCCAGTAGTGGCAATGATGGAGGGTTTATGCTTTCGGAAGTACCACAGGGATGGGGGCCTTACTGTGTTCATTATCAGCTTCAAAAAATACCACTTGAATGTCAAACTACAAAATGCTGAGCTCCTAAGTTACCATTTAAGATAAAAGGAACTGATGATGATGATTCACAGCACTTCTTTATCTGTAGATGTCTCCACTTACTTCACATAAGCAGGTAGATTTAATGATTCACAGAAAGGGAAACAAAAAGGGGACAGGCTAAGCAGTTATGCCAGAAGACGCTATACAATAAAGCTATAGACATTAAACCACTTCATTCCACGTGAAAAAAAAAAAGCACTCTGTTTAGAAAATAAGACTGTGCTTCTGCTGCATTGTCTGGGAAGCTTCCCCTTGCAGTTCAGCTCAACCCAACAGGGGCTGGGCTCTGGACTCAAGATGACTTTTAGAACTGCTGGGCTTCAGTCACAGAGCTTGTTGCAGGCTCAGCCTCTACTTCAGAGCCCTAGGGAAATGTATCTGTACAAATACCCCTGTGAATTCAGGAGAACTGGCATTTTTCTGAAGTAAGCCTACTGGAAAGGGTGGCCATGGAGATTGTAGAGGGCATAATCCTGAGACAACCAGGTGCTAAGCTAAAAGAAAACAGATTTCCAGTCAACAGAATTATTTTAACATGGCTAAAATAATGTTATTTTCCCCTGTGTTGTTCTCTGAACAGATAAACCATTTTACAATAACAAGATTTAGCCTGAGGAAAAGAAATATAGTACGGAAAAACAGTATGAACTAGTTGAATATTTAGTATTATATGTAATTTATAATAAGTTTATAACTATGATTTCTATGTTTCAAGCAACCTTTATAATAAACTGTATAACCAGCCCTTCCTACAGTATCAGCAAACAGATAGCTATTTATTATGCAGAAGATATATAAAGTAAGTGGCATATACAGCAGTAGAAACAATACACATGGTCTTTATTCTGAACTACATACGCTGGGCATATTTCTCTGTGGAAAGTGTCCTGTGTGGAGGAAGAGATGGTATGGCAGTAGCTGGGTGAAGAACCCCTTAGTCATCCTTTTCACTGAACACTGGTAGCCCATCACCCAGGCAGGGTGAAGGGGAAAGAGAGATCTCTATCAAATGATAGCCAAATGAGAGAGGACACATGCAGACTGCTCTCCATTCCCCACATTGCTGGCTTACTAGAATATGTGACTGCCTCTCTATCCAGCAGAGTAGCTCTTTGACCTACAAGAAACAGAAACTTTATCTCAAGTAGGACGTTTCTGAAGGAGCTCTCCTGCTAAATGGCCCCTCCACTGTAACTCACTGCTGCACTTTCTCAAGGCCAATGGATTAGCGAGAATGAAAATTGAGACTACTGGCTCCCAGACAAATAGCACACGACAGAAACAGTGCCTCTATCTCAGGCAGGGTTTCCTCTCTTCTTTCAGTGAGTCATGAAAGATTAATTTCTGAGGTGAGCTTTGAGTCTTAAAGATAATTTAGCATGAGGAAAGTATCTGGTGCAATTTCACCTCCCTCTTCTCTGTGTAAGTGACTCTAGAGAGACACCAGGCGTTCACTTGGACTATGACGTTTGCCTAAAAATTGTCACCTTCTTCGTCAACATATCAGCTCCAAAAATCATACATGATCACTTCAGTAACACAAACATTTAAAAACTCAGTTTGTGCTGCCATCCTAGCAGAGGTACTGCAGAATGGGCTTCAAGTATGCTGTGTTCCTTGCAGTGCCTGTACCGTGCTCTGCACCCTCACTTTCTCATTCCGTAACTGGGACTTCTTTCCCTTCATATGTAAGCTGAGGCAATGTAACAAGAAAGAGGAGCAGTGCAATGAAGGTACTGAAGAGAGAAGCAGATGCAAGAAAGTGCCCCAAGGGACTATCCTTACCATACCATCAGCTGTAATCTACATGAAGATAGCTGATAGGCTTTCAGTCTTTATACATTCTTCCTGCTA